TAGAAATAGAACATTTTCTGAAGCTCGGATGCGACTCGCATAAATTATGGACCTGATCTCGTAAACTGTGCCCAAATATAGATAGTTAATAGGGGGAGGGGGTAGCGATTTCAATGGTTCCAAATTTGCCATCAAAATAATGTAATTTCTTAAATGCGATTCGACTTAAAAAAAAAAAATCTTTATTGTGGTTACCTTGCTAAATCTCTCGACTATATTACTCGACAGTTTTCATTAATTGTGTTCAAAACTTAATGAGGAATTAATAGAAAACCACCTATCTATGTACAAAATGCGAAACTCTATACTACTATTTGATCGCTGAGCTCCCTTGCGAATTTCCTTAGCCGGTCGCCTTACTCCTGAATTAAAGATTTATAACCAATATGACTTTGAAATGTTTCTCAAGATAAAGAGTAAGTTATTTTCTTGTAAATGATAGCCTATATCTATACATTTCTGTCACGGGTGACTGAGCACCAGGCTTTTTGAAAAGTGCTGTTGAAATTGCCTTGTATACCAAGTTTGGGCTGATGGTACGAATTTGGGTCAGGCCATATGCATATCTTTCTTTGGTTTCGTAACCTCTGAAAACTCAAAGGTAACGAAACCCAAATGCAAGAAAGAACACATATGATGATAAGTATGAAAGAAATGTTCATAAAATGCGTTATCATCTCGTGTGAAATTTAATTCTCTTTCATATGACATCTCAGACATGGTAAATGAGGTTCTTCGAAAAAGTGATCTCAAAGATGGTCCAACAGTATTTTTGGAAAATGGCCGCCATTTTTTTCTTCCAGCAGCATATTTTCAAGAAAGTCCACTAAGAAATGGTGCAGGGAGGTTCCCTCCACACGTTGATACCCACCGACCTTTAACAACATTCCATGTCTTAAAAACCTGCTACGTACCCCCTGGGTAAATATGTTTTTTTTAAACCTGCCCGATCCCCTAAAGTAAATGACAGTCTCCACCAAAAATAGTGTTGACGCTAAATGAACGTTTTACCAAATTTGCTGGAAAAACTCCGAAATCATCATCATCATCACCATTATCCGTATCAATATGATCATCACAGTTTTTTTCTTCAGTTGTTGTTTGTTCGTGTTCTTGCTGATTTAAACAATATATTTGTTTCTGAATACAGGCTAAAGACCCAAAGAAAGGTGTATTTTGGAAGTTGCTGCTTGGTACCGTAACCTGCTTGTCCTTCGGTAAGTACTTTTTTTACTTAACATATCCGTAATATTTTGTTGAATATTGCAGAAACATAGCTGGCTTTCAAAATTTCCACAATAAAGCAAAATAAGGGCGAGGTGAAAAACCAAAGTTAGTCTGCAAGCACAGACTGTAATTTGACACTTTATCACATTTCCTAAATCCTTGGGCAGAGCGTAGATCTGCCTGTTTCTGGCTGTGTCAAAAACAAGCAGCTTAAGTATACACAGCCGCTATTGTACAGTCACATTTTGCAGACACTATTGCACAACCATTGACAAGGATTTGTGCCCTCAAACTTGACCTAATAAACATTGCATCTCAACAAAACAAAAAAACATTTTAAAAAAAAATCTCTCTAATATATTTTGAGAAAACCTGCATCCTCAAGATTGAGAAGAGGGTGGCAGGCAAGGATGAAAAGGACAAGGAGGAGGTAGGGGAGGGTAGGAGAGGATGATTAAGCTCGAGGAGTGCTATCTAAGGATGAGTAGGACAGGAGGAATTGTGGATGAGGGGAAGGAGGGAAGGAGGGAAGGAGGAAGGGGAGTAGGAGGAGGGGGTGGAGAGAAGTACCAGGCGGGTAGGAGGAGGAGGAGGATGTGGAGGAGGAGGAGGAAGAGGAAGGGGGAGGTAGAGAAGGACATGAATAAGGAGGGATGTGAGGCAGGAGGAGAAGAGGCATATGAGGAGGAAGAAAACAACTAGCTATTAATTTTCTAATGTTTTCTTCACAGCCTTGCCTGTGTTATCGGATAGGTCATCTTGTCCAGACTGGTACGGCCTAAATTACACTTTGCCCATGTTCCAAAAGTGTAAGATGAAGCGACTCCACGATGGCAGCATGGTGCAGAGCATCCCCAAACTCATCCCTTTCCCTTCTGTCATCGGCGGGTGCCACCAAAGGAAGAGTAAAGAAGGGATCCCGGGCGGGCATAGAATTTGCAGAATCCCGTGTACGTCTCATTTTTTAATATTTTTTGTTCTCATAGGTCAAATTCATTTCTTTTGTTTAGTCAATATATCTACATGCAGATAACACGGACTTCAGTGATATCATTAAAGTTTGATATCAACTCCTAACTTCTTCTTCTACTACTACTACTACTACTACTACTACTACTACTACTACTACTACTACTACTACTGCTGCTGCTGGTACTACTACTACTACGCCTCCTAATATTTCTACTACTCCTACTAATTATACTACTACTACTACTACTACTACTACTACTACTACTACTACTACTACTACTGCTGCTGCTGGTACTACTACTACTACGCCTCCTAATATTTCTACTACTACTACTAATACTACTACTACTACTACTAATACTACTACTACTACTACTACTACTACTACTACTACTACTACTACTACTACTACTACTACTACTACTACTACTACTACTACTACTACTACTACTACTACTACTACTACTACTGCTACTACTACTATAACAACTACTACTACTACTACTACTACTACTACTACTACTCTACTACTACTACTACTACTACTACTAATACTACTACTACTACTACTACTACTACTACTACTACTACTACTACTACTACTACTACTGCTACTACTACTATAACAACTACTACTACTACTACTACTACTACTACTACTACTACTACTACTACTACTACTACTACTACTACTACTACTACTACTACTACTACTACTACTACTACTACTACTACTACTACTACTAACAATACTACTACTACTACTACTACTACTACTACTACTACTACTACTACTACTACTACTACTCTACTAATACTACAGCTACTACTACTACTACTACTACTACTACTACTACCACCACTACTCCCACCACTACTACTACTACTACTACTACTACTACTACTACTACTACTACTACTACTACTACTAATATTTCTATTACTATCGCGACGATGACTACTTTTACTACTTCTACTTCTACTACTACTGACTACTACTACTACTACTACTACTACTACTTTTAGTTCTGTTTTAACTCAATCGAATGTCGAAGATATTTCAGGGTACAACAACTTTTCTCGACGCAGCGACATTGCTATCCTAATTTTGTAAACCTATTTAGATTGTGAAAATGAATCGTTCCAGCCGATGGTGTATAATTTCACTGGTTGGTGTTTCGTTTGATAACGGTGGAAGGACTGACGAGTGAACTTTATTGGATTCGTCGATATATTGCTATCGCTATGACAATATTCGATGAGTCGCAGACGAGTCCAATATTGTAATAGCGAGAGCAATATATTATTGTATCACACGAAAACAAAGCCATACAATAGTAATACTATTTTCTGTCATATATTGGTCTGTCATCCGGGCACTACGCTAAAGATATTAAATACTTAGATTTTTTGTTCCACTTGGAAGCCTTATATATATAATAATGAGTTTTATCCCGTTTATTTCTTATTTCACAGATTGTGACGAAAACCTCTGTAACAACGGCTGGTGTGAGGAGACTATGGTAGGCTACAACTGTACCTGCTCAAGTGGGTTTCAAGGGAGACACTGCGATGAAAGTAGGTGTAATATAATAGGCGTATCGGGCAAATTAATGAGCAATTAATGAGTGGCCAATTCATGTGCAAAGAGCAGGAACAGACTTTCTATAGGGTGTAAACAAAATGTTTGCAGTTATTTTTTTTTTTACTTGTACGCACTTTTTTCAAACATTGTACCTACATTCTGCACTCCACATAACCAGTACGACAAAACATGAGGGTGGCCGGTAGTGCAACTGAAGAAAAAGAAGAAGAAGAAGAAGAAGAAGAAAAAACAAAAAAGAGATGATGATGATGATTAAAAAGAAAGTACCTCGCGGTCCTCTTTTCGAACTTTTTGATAGAATTGAGATTCCCAAAATATTTTCTGATATCTATTTTTGCATTCCCCCCCCCCCCCCCCTCTTGATCCTATCCCCGTAGCCTGACTAGGAGCACCTAGAGACAGCCGGTGGGGAAATAATTTAAATGAAAATAATGTTATGCATCGTTATTTCACTCAGTTATGTTTGTAATTGTTTGTTGTTGTTAATTTCAGTGATCATCGAGTCAACGACTGAACTGACGACCAAGCCTACGACGACCCCTACGACTACCACTTCGGAACGCTCAGACACAACGACTTCCCAAAACACCACTTCATCTAGTATGTCTACGTCATGCATTTATATTGATCATGATCATAATGGCCCGAATTCACAAAGGAGGTTTATCGACAAACCTCTTTTGTGAATTCGGGCAAAATATCTAGCCATTATACCACCCCCCCCCCTCCCCCCCCCCCCCTATCTCTCTCTCTCTCTCTCTCTCTCTCTCTCTCTCTCTCTTTCTCCCACTCTCTCGTTCTATATCTGACTCTAATGTTCAGTTCTATCCAGGCGTCGCTAAACAAAAGAAATTAAGGGGGAAGTGACCGTCTAATTCTTATTTGTGAAAGTCTTATTTTTCTTTGTCATTCTTTCATAAGCGTCGCTTAAACACTTTGAGGGGGCAGCTAGTGACCGTCATTAAATTCACATTTTGTCTATAAGTTTAACGACAACGTTTTGTTGTTGTTGTTGTTCTTTGTCTTCTTCTTCTCCCCCCTTCGCATGTTCTTTGTCTCTCTCTGTCTGTTCCCCTCTCAATACTTGACTCCGGCTCCTTTTCCTCTCCACTCATTTTTTAAATTTGTTTTATTCCATTTAGAGTCGGTGACAACAGAAGCGAAAACCAATTCCGAGCCGAGCCCTACGGCCAAGATGACGAAACGATCAGACGCAACGACATCGCAAAAAGCCACCACCTCCAGTAAGAGAAACATTGAAACGACGTCATGTAATTATTATCACAATGGGTCTAGCCACTATAGCCCTCCTTCCTTCTCTCTCTCTCTCTCTCTCTCTCTCTCTCTCTTTCTCCCACTCTCTCGGTCTATATCTGACTATACTGTTCAGTTCTATCCGGGCATCGGCTAAAATACTTTTTAAGGGGAAAGTGACCGTCTAATTCTTATTAGTTAATAGTCTTATTTTTCTTTGCCATTCTTTCTTAAGCGTCGTTAAAACACTTTATAAGGGGTCCCCTAGTGCCCCTCATTTTTTTTTAATTCACATGTTGTGTATAAGTTTAACGTTGTTGTTGTTGTTGTTGCTGTTCTCCTTCTTCTTCTTGTTCCCTCTTCGCATGTTCTTTGTCTCTCTCTGTCTGTTCCCTTATCAATACTTGACTCCGGCTCCTTTTCCTCCCCACTCATTTTTTGATATTTTTTTTATTCCGTTCAGAGTCGGTGACAACAGAAGCAAAAACCAAGTCTGAGCCAAGCCCTACTGCCACGATGCCGAAACGATCAGACGCAACGACATCGCAAGAAACCACCACCTCAAGTAAGAGAAACATTGAAACGACGTCATGTAATTATTATCACAATGGGTCTAGCCACTGTAGCCCTCTTTCCTTCTCCCTCTCTCTCTCTCTCTTTCTCTCTCTCTCTCTCTCTCTCTCTCTCTCTCTCTCTCTCTCGTTCTCCCTCTCTCTCTCTCTTAGTCTATATCTGAATCTAATGTTCAGTTCTATCCGAGCGTCGCTAAAACACTTTTTTTAGGGGGAAGTGACCGTCTAATTCTTATTTGTTGTAGTTGTTGTTGTTGTTACTGTTCTGCTGCATGTTCTTTGTCTCTCTCTGTCTGTTCCCCTCTCAATACTTGACTCCGGCTTCTTTTCCTCCCCACTCATTTTTTTAATACTTTTTCATTCCGTTCAGAGTCGATGACAACAGAAGCGAAAACCAAGTCTGAGCCAAGCCCTACTGCCACGATGCCGAAACGATCAGACGCAACGACATCGCAAGAAACCACCACCTCCAGTAAGAGAAACATTGAAACGACGTTATGTAATTATTATCACAATGGGTCTAGCCACTATAGCCCTCCTTCCTTCTCTCTCTCTCTCTCTATCTCTCTCTTTCTCCCACTCTCTCGGTCTATATCTGACTATACTGTTCAGTTCTATCCGGGCATCGGCTAAAACACTTTTTAAGGGGAAAGTGACCGTCTAATTCTTATTAGTTATAGTCTTATTTTTCTTTGCCATTCTTTCTTAAGCGTCGCTAAAACACTTCATAAGGGGTCACCTAGTGCCCCTCATTTTTTTAATTCACATGTTGTGTATAAGTTTAACGACAACTTTATTGTTGTAGTTGTTGTTGTTGTTACTGTTCTGCTGCATGTTCTTTGTCTCTCTCTGTCTGTTCCCCTCTCAATACTTGACTCCGGCTTCTTTTCCTCCCCACTCATTTTTTTAATACTTTTTCATTCCGTTCAGAGTCGATGACAACAGAAGCAAAAACCAAGTCTGAGCCAAGCCCTACTGCCACGATGCCGAAACGATCAGACGCAACGACATCGCAAGAAACCACCACCTCCAGTAAGAGAAACATTGAAACGACGTTATGTAATTATTATCACAATGGGTCTAGCCACTATAGCCCTCCTTCCTTCTCTCTCTCTCTCTCTCTCTCTTTCTCCCACTCTCTTGGTCTATATCTGACTATACTGTTCAGTTCTATCCGGGCATCGGCTAAAACACTTTTTAAGGGGGAAGTGACCGTCTAAATCTTATTAGTTATAGTCTTATTTTTCTTCGTCATTCTTTCTTAAGCGTCGCTTAGGTACTTTATAAGGGGTCACCTAGTGCCCCTCATTTTTTTAATTCACATGTTGTGTATAAGTTTAACGACAACTTTATTGTTGTAGTTGTTGTTGTTGTTACTGTTCTGCTGCATGTTCTTTGTCTCTCTCTGTCTGTTCCCTTATCAATACTTGACTCCGGCTCCTTTTCCTCCCCACTCATTTTTTTAATATTTTTTTTATTGCGTTCAGAGTCGGTGACAACAGAAGCAAAAACCAAGTCTGAGCCAAGCCCTACTGCCACGATGCCGAAACGATCAGACGCAACGACATCGCAAGAAACCACCACCTCCAGTAAGAGAAACATTATAAAGACGTCATGTAATTATTATCACAATGGGTCTAGCCACTATAGCCCTCTTTCCTTCTCCCTCTCTCTCTCTCTTTTTCTCTCTCTCTCTCTCTCTCTCTCTCTTTCTCCCTCTCTCTCTCTTAGTCTATATCTGACTCTAATGTTCAGTTCTATCCGAGCGTCGCTAAAACACTTTTTTTAGGGGGAAGTGACCGTCCAATTCTTATTTGTTGTAGTTGTTGTTGTTGTTACTGTTCTGCTGCATGTTCTTTGTCTCTCTCTGTCTGTTCCCCTCTCAATACTTGACTCCGGCTTCTTTTCCTCCCCACTCATTTTTTTAATACTTTTTCATTCCGTTCAGAGTCGATGACAACAGAAGCAAAAACCAAGTCTGAGCCAAGCCCTACTGCCACGATGCCGAAACGATCAGACGCAACGACATCGCAAGAAACCACCACCTCCAGTAAGAGAAACATTGAAACGACGTTATGTAATTATTATCACAATGGGTCTAGCCACTATAGCCCTCCTTCCTTCTCTCTCTCTCTCTCTCTCTCTCTCTCTTTCTCCCACTCTCTTGGTCTATATCTGACTATACTGTTCAGTTCTATCCGGGCATCGGCTAAAACACTTTTTAAGGGGGAAGTGACCGTCTAAATCTTATTAGTTATAGTCTTATTTTTCTTTGTCATTCTTTCTTAAGCGTCGCTTAGGTACTTTATAAGGGGTCACCTAGTGCCCCTCATTTTTTTAATTCACATGTTGTGTATAAGTTTAACGACAACTTTATTGTTGTAGTTGTTGTTGTTGTTACTGTTCTGCTGCATGTTCTTTGTCTCTCTCTGTCTGTTCCCTTATCAATACTTGACTCCGGCTCCTTTTCCTCCCCACTCATTTTTTTAATATTTTTTTTATTGCGTTCAGAGTCGGTGACAACAGAAGCAAAAACCAAGTCTGAGCCAAGCCCTACTGCCACGATGCCGAAACGATCAGACGCAACGACATCGCAAGAAACCACCACCTCCAGTAAGAGAAACATTGAAAAGACGTCATGTAATTATTATCACAATGGGTCTAGCCACTATAGCCCTCTTTCCTTCTCCCTCTCTCTCTCTCTCTCTTTTTCTCTCTCTCTCTCTCTCTCTCTCTCTCTCTTTCTCCCTCTCTCTCTCTTTCTCCCTCTCTCTCTCTTAGTCTATATCTGACTCTAATGTTCAGTTCTATCCGAGCGTCGCTAAAACACTTTTTTTAGGGGGAAGTGACCGTCTAATTCTTATTTGTTGTAGTTGTTGTTGTTGTTACTGTTCTGCTGCATGTTCTTTGTCTCTCTCTGTCTGTTCCCCTCTCAATACTTGACTCCGGCTTCTTTTCCTCCCCACTCATTTTTTTAATACTTTTTCATTCCGTTCAGAGTCGATGACAACAGAAGCGAAAACCAAGTCTGAGCCAAGCCCTACTGCCACGATGCCGAAACGATCAGACGCAACGACATCGCAAGAAACCACCACCTCCAGTAAGAGAAACATTGAAACGACGTTTTGTAATTATTATCACAATGGGTCTAGCCACTATAGCCCTCCTTCCTTCTCTCTCTCTCTCTCTCTCTCTCTCTCTCTCTCTTCTCCCACTCTCTCGGTCTATATCTGACTATACTGTTCAGTTCTATCCGGGCATCGGCTAAAACAGTTTTTTAAGGGGAAAGTGACCGTCTAATTCTTATTAGTTATAGTCTTATTTTTCTTTGCCATTCTTTCTTAAGCGTCGCTAAAACACTTTATAAGGGGTCACCTAGTGCCCCTCATTTTTTTAATTCTCATGTTGTGTATAAGTTTAACGACAACTTGATTGTTGTAGTTGTTGTTGTTGTTACTGTTCTGCTGCATGTTCTTTGTCTCTCTCTGTCTGTTCCCCTCTCAATACTTGACTCCGGCTTCTTTTCCTCCCCACTCATTTTTTTAATACTTTTTCATTCCGTTCAGAGTCGATGACAACAGAAGCAAAAACCAAGTCTGAGCCAAGCCCTACTGCCACGATGCCGAAACGATCAGACGCAACGACATCGCAAGAAACCACCACCTCCAGTAAGAGAAACATTGAAACGACGTTATGTAATTATTATCACAATGGGTCTAGCCACTATAGCCCTCCTTCCTTCTCTCTCTCTCTCTCTCTCTCTCTCTTTCTCCCACTTTCTTGGTCTATATCTGACTATACTGTTCAGTTCTATCCGGGCATCGGCTAAAACACTTTTTAAGGGGGAAGTGACCGTCTAAATCTTATTAGTTATAGTCTTATTTTTCTTTGTCATTCTTTCTTAAGCGTCGCTTAGGTACTTTATAAGGGGTCACCTAGTGCCCCTCATTTTTTTAATTCACATGTTGTGTATAAGTTTAACGACAACTTTATTGTTGTAGTTGTTGTTGTTGTTACTGTTCTGCTGCATGTTCTTTGTCTCTCTCTGTCTGTTCCCTTATCAATACTTGACTCCGGCTCCTTTTCCTCCCCACTCATTTTTTTAATATTTTTTTTTATTGCGTTCAGAGTCGGTGACAACAGAAGCAAAAACCAAGTCTGAGCCAAGCCCTACTGCCACGATGCCGAAACGATCAGACGCAACGACATCGCAAGAAACCACCACCTCCAGTAAGAGAAACATTGAAAAGACGTCATGTAATTATTATCACAATGGGTCTAGCCACTATAGCCCTCTTTCCTTCTCCCTCTCTCTCTCTCTTTTCTCTCTCTCTCTCTCTCTCTCTTTCTCCCTCTCTCTCTCTTTCTCCCTCTCTCTCTCTCTTAGTCTATATCTGACTCTAATGTTCAGTTCTATCCGAGCGTCGCTAAAACACTTTTTTTAGGGGGAAGTGACCGTCTAATTCTTATTTGTTGTAGTTGTTGTTGTTGTTACTGTTCTGCTGCATGTTCTTTGTCTCTCTCTGTCTGTTCCCCTCTCAATACTTGACTCCGGCTTCTTTTCCTCCCCACTCATTTTTTTAATACTTTTTCATTCCGTTCAGAGTCGATGACAACAGAAGCGAAAACTAAGTCTGAGCCAAGCCCTACTGCCACGATGCCGAAACGATCAGACGCAACGACATCGCAAGAAACCACCACCTCCAGTAAGAGAAACATTGAAACGACGTTTTGTAATTATTATCACAATGGGTCTAGCCACTATAGCCCTCCTTCCTTCTCTCTCTCTCTCTCTCTCTCTCTCTTTCTCCCACTCTCTCGGTCTATATCTGACTATACTGTTCAGTTCTATCCGGGCATCGGCTAAAACACTTTTTTAAGGGGAAAGTGACCGTCTAATTCTTATTAGTTATAGTCTTATTTTTCTTTGCCATTCTTTCTTAAGCGTCGCTTAAACACTTTATAAGGGGTCACCTAGTGCCCCTCATTTTTTTAATTCTCATGTTGTGTATAAGTTGAACGACAACTTTATTGTTGTAGTTGTTGTTGTTGTTACTGTTCTGCTGCATGTTCTTTGTCTCTCTCTGTCTGTTCCCTTATCAATACTTGACTCCGGCTCCTTTTCCTCCCCACTCATTTTTTTAATATTTTTTTTTATTGCGTTCAGAGTCGGTGACAACAGAAGCAAAAACCAAGTCTGAGCCAAGCCCTACTGCCACGATGCCGAAACGATCAGACGCAACGACATCGCAAGAAACCACCACCTCCAGTAAGAGAAACATTGAAAAGACGTCATGTAATTATTATCACAATGGGTCTAGCCACTATAGCCCTCTTTCCTTCTCCCTCTCTCTCTCTCTTTTTCTCTCTCTCTCTCTCTCTCTCTCTCTCTCTCTTTCTCCCTCTCTCTCTCTTTCTCCCTCTCTCTCTCTTAGTCTATATCTGACTCTAATGTTCAGTTCTATCCGAGCGTCGCTAAAACACTTTTTTTAGGGGGAAGTGACCGTCTAATTCTTATTTGTTGTAGTTGTTGTTGTTGTTACTGTTCTGCTGCATGTTCTTTGTCTCTCTCTGTCTGTTCCCCTCTCAATACTTGACTCCGGCTTCTTTTCCTCCCCACTCATTTTTTTAATACTTTTTCATTCCGTTCAGAGTCGATGACAACAGAAGCGAAAACCAAGTCTGAGCCAAGCCCTACTGCCACGATGCCGAAACGATCAGACGCAACGACATCGCAAGAAACCACCACCTCCAGTAAGAGAAACATTGAAACGACGTTTTGTAATTATTATCACAATGGGTCTAGCCACTATAGCCCTCCTT